TGAGGAGCGGTGAGGGCCGCGCGGAGGAAGGGCGATGCGGGATGTTCCCTGAAGTTTCCCAAAGTAGCGATTCTGTTCGAGTACAAGTAATCTGCGGAGATTACGGATTATCTCCTCAGCCGTCACCTCTTCAGCCACCGTGCGGAAACGGCGAGTTGCGGGATGGTGCCTTAGTCATGAATAAGTGTTTGGTTTGTTTGTACTGGGTTGTTAGCTGTGGTGTTTCAAGAGGTTTTTTTTTTAAAAAACTCATTTAAAATAAACCCCTTAAAAAAATGTGAGTCACACACACCAGTGTCCCGGGAAGAGCTCATCTACTGGTTCATGAGCACTGCGAGGATAACTTGGAACTTAACATCGTTTTACACAACGCTGTTAGGTGTCAATCCTCAATCAAGTGCATATGAAAATACAATGAGTATGTCATTATTTTCTTCCCTGTGAGTTGGGAGTTCAGGAGTTTAAATGAGGGGGTGCTAATTCAGGGGCTAGAGTGAGCATTTAGATGTCGTAATCGGCATGGCTGCACGCGCACAAAATATGTAACGTGTTAAAGGTAACCCTGATGCTCGTGTACGCTGTCCTGTACATCCTTGCCAGTGCAGACAGAGATGCCTCGAGAGAGGCTGATCCCACCTGTGTGTGCTCGTTCTCTTGTCATCTGATTTTTCATAGAGGTTACTTTATTGCAAGTGTAATGGCTATTTTATTGATAATCAGTTTTTTCATTGTTGATATATCTAGCAAAGAAATGGAGCTCGTCTAGGCAAATCTCTCATCTGTTCCCAGTAGTAAGCATTCAGAGTCTAGCAGGATGTGGGCCGGAAGAGTGCATGAAATACAATACAGAAGTAATTTATTCAAGGATGACAAATATAGTGCTAGTTGGGGAAACGCATGCTTTGTTAATACTTTACGAGACGAGAATGTGTCTTAATTAGGTAGCTGCGGAGTGCCTCTAATGTCGAAAGGGGCTAAGACATCTTGTCGGTCAGACATTTTCTCTTTGCCTGCTGGAAAGGCACAGCATCTTTCTGAACCCCTGGTAGGTGTATTGTTTGTAAACAACTTGGAAAAAATGCTTGCGTGCATTAAAGTTCTTTAGGCGATGTCTCTAGGGACCTATTATCTTGTATTTTCATCAGATTTTAATTTACAAAAGGGAAGTATTTTTCTTAAATCTAAAAACTCAGTCTGTATGTTTTTGACATCTTGGATAAGGAGAGAAAAGGTGTTAGACTTTCATAGCAACCTGTAGGCTGTCTGGAAAACCGGCATCTTTAGCAGACACTCTGCCTTTTGGTATGCTAAACTGTGTGCACAACTGAGTAAACCACTTCTAATTCAGCAAGCGGCGAAATAATGGATGCAAAACATAACTTTTTTTCAGGCCACTGAGACTTTGTGCTGTGGTTTACATAGTCTGTAATGTAAACACATTTGCAGTCAGAACACTTTGTTGTGTTCCTCTAGTATACAACTAACTGGAGATGAACTTTATTGGAACGTTGAAATGTGTGCCATTTGCATGTAAATGTAATTAAATAGAAAGTTTTCTGATTTTCTCCATTGTGATTCTAAACCTTTGTCAATTTACTCCTCCACCAGCCAGTTCAAGCTCCTCGTCATGTTGCTCTGCTGGCAAACAGGCGCTGCGTGCCAGTTTCCTGTTGTAGATGTTGTGATGTCACGGATCAGCTTTGATTTTTATCAAGTGTTGAGGATGAGCTGTGAAGCGCAAAAAGCGACAGGTAGCCAAAATAGCAGGTGAAATAACTAAACCTGTGTGCTGTAGGTGAAGGTGACTTCTTGAACCACGTGCTCTTCCTCTGTGAGCCTTCTGTCGTCCCGTCATTCCATCTCCCTTGCTTGTGTGAGTGCCACAGAGACTCCTCACTTTCTCTAGCTCTCACCATTGTCTTCAATGGTTTTGAATATTTTTCCTTTAAGGTTTAACAGGTAAAAAGCATGGTGGTCTTCCTCTTGTAAGTCATATTAACACTTCCACTGGTGTAAGTGTTAATATGACATAGAATCATAGAGTGGTTTGGGTTGGAAAGAACCTTAAAGACAGTCTAGTTCCAACCCCCCTGCCATGTGCAGGGACACCTTCCCCTTGATCAGGTTGCTCAAAGCCTCATCCAGCCTGGCCTTGAACGTTTCCAGGGATGGGATATCCACAACTTCTCTGGACATCATCTTTGTTTCTGTGTTTGTGCGTGGTATTATTGGTGTCAATGTGGATGTGTACAGTTTGGGAATTATTTTAATAGCTTGACCCATAGGATCGTATTAGTCCTATTTTATAGTTAACTCTTGTGTAATAGGGTTGAAAATAAGCGTTAATGAAGTGTAAGAGACCTATGTTAAGTAGTAGCGCTTGGAAAACTGAATGAGAAAAGGTGTTGACTTGGCAGGCTTGTATGCTCACTAACTTCCTATGAACCGTCATCAAAAACGTGTAAAAACAGATGCTGCTTTAATACTGAAATTGATAAAACTATCTTGGACTAAACGTACGTCCAAAAAGTTGTGCGAACTCTACTCCTTCCAGTAGCCTGATATGCAAATGAAATTATGCTGTTGCTCTTGTGCAAGACCGTGAAATTAAGTAAATGTATGTGATAGCTTTATCTCACCTGCTATTACTGGTAACAAACTGTGAGGGAGGGACCACGGCGGGGAGAAAGGTAGGTAAATTTGAAGTGTTATCTGGCAATGCAAGAGCACTACATTACAAGATGCAAAGTTTCAGATAAAGTCTTAAGAAGAAATAACTTAAGATCACTTGACCCATTTGCAGAGAGTTCATTTATGTGTATTTAGCAATCTTTAATTGTATGATCTCATGGTATGTTTCTGCAAGGTCTTTTTTAGGAAGTGGAATGCATGGTGCCTAGGTTGGGAAATATCACACACCTGAAGATCTGAGGTGCTGTGTGTTTGAGATGTGAAGTAGTGAGTTTTGGTTGTAGCACTGCGTTACCAGAAGTGGATTTCCTGTGTGCACTTCTCTAATTTTTTTGGTGATAAAAGGTCTACCAAGGAGATAGTCATATTTAATGGACAGCACAAATTCTCTAGTCAAGTAAGAGTACTTTCAAAGCTGGGTGGTGGTGGTGGTGGAGTGACTGCTTTTCAAAAGATTGAATTGCTGCCTGTGACAAAAGCAGAAATACTTCAGCTGGGTGTAGGTATGTCTTAGTCAGGAAGTTTCTTCTGAAGTTGATAGAACTTGTATTTCTAACTTCTTTTTTTCTGCTTTTCAGTGTTTGGTGTAACAAAGTCATCCTATTTCAGTGAAAGCCGTGTAACCTTTACCTGATACTGAAGCATTTTAGTTTTCTTTGTTATTGTTTTGAACTGACAGGCCTTATACAAACAGAGAACTTTTAATAACAAAAAGGGTTTTAGTCCTTGATTACTACAGGTACATACATGCTTACTCTTGGATGTTAGATTGAGTAATTTAACTTGTGTAAATTGGCCTGCTGTAGTCAGGCATCTTCTGAAGTGTTAGAGAATTAAAGTGTAATAAGCCTTATTTTGTTATGTATTTTTTTAATTGAGATGAAGATAGTGTGTTCGAGAAGCCTGAATTTAAAAATGTTCCTGCTCCAGAGTGCTTGAAGTAGCAGTTTTAATACTTTGTAACATAGATTTTACAAGAACAGCTTCTCAGTCTTTCCCCCACAGTTTGCTTTGTAGGGAAGGGAATTATCCTAGAAATCCTGATTTGTGGTGCCGTGCGGGTCCCCAACAGGATCGTCAACTCAGACGAGGCAGCCTGATCCATAAGTGTCACTTAGATGCTGGCTTTTGTGGGTTTGCTGAGTTACCACTGTCTGGTGGTGACTTCTACAGCACTTGCTGTCCAGGGGTGCTGGGACACAGGGCTGCTGTGGGTTGCAAGCAGCAGCATTTTCCTGGGAGACCTCTACTACCCATGTCTCTGTGGCGGAACCTGCGCCTCTGCACCTTGGCTCTCGGCTTGACTCTTTTTATTCCCTGTGTGCTAGCAGAGGGCAGTTGTGTCTCCTGGCTTCTCGGTCTCCTCCGTGTTTCTGCAGAGCAATGTGAACAGCCTCCCACCAGACAGGAGAAACAATGGAAGAAAAAGCCTTACTCAGCTCCTGTTTCCTCACCCCTGCTCACAAATCCTGAAGAAATTTGTTGCTTTCGATAATAACCATCTCCTGAAAACAAAGGGGCTTTCAGCGACTTGCAGATCGGAAAAATCCTGTGTGGTATCGTAGACTTGTTACCGTTTTCTCAATAAGCAACCTGATTTAGATGCTGAAGATAAATATGATTTCAGCATTTTGTTCTCAAGGAAGTGTGCCGTGGGATTCGTGCGTGTGTTGTCATGGTATGCATGAGATCTGCTGTCGTGGGTCTTCATGGAAAATGTCAGCCTGGATGGATAGTTTGGGGAAGTGACTTGGTGCGCGATACTGTCAAAAATCCCCTGCAGAAGTGCTTTTTAATGGCTTTTATCTTTCCTGGAGTTTGCACCAGAATTTCAAAGCGGAACACCTGTTTCAGTACAAAATATGTCTTAGTAGAAGAAAGGGTGGGATAGGCTAACTGAATTGAAATACAAAAGGTGCTCACTTAAGGGCATAAGGATGGATGAACAAAATCAATTAGTAACAGCTAGAGGGAAAAAGCAAACCAAGACGACGAAAAGATGGATATTTTAAAAGAGGTATCTGTAAGTCTGTTACTTTTTATTTTGAAGTAGGTCTTGCTTGCATGAAAGAGGCCGACTTGCCATTTTGTGACATCTTCTGTAGGTGTAAGAAACCTACTTGGTGCTTTTGTATCCAGCTGTGTCCTTTGTAACTCTAGTTTGTAGCCAGACCAAAAGTCTAACTCAAAAATAACTTATTTTGGAAATTCTTTGCTTACCTGCTTTTTAAAGTAACGACAACATTGTTGCTAAGATTAGCCAATTCATGCACAATGAAACTCCATCCAGAATTCTTCTGGAAGAACAGGCAGGTAGGAAACGAGTGTCTTGTGTTTCAGTTTTACGTTTGACTCTGGATTCTCAAGAAGTTTTTATTGAGCTTCTACAAAACGTCTGTAAAGGAAAAAGGAAGCTTAGAAATGCACTTTAGTGTCAGCTGTTACGGCCCTTCGGTTAACGTGATAAAAGCAGTGCTGCTTGCTGCGTGGCTGGTGAGCT